GGGGTGGGGCGGGGGGGGGGGGGGAGAGAGGGTCCCTAATCACCCCAACTGGCTTCCCAACCCAAGACAGGACTGGAACTCAGTACATCAAGGGGGGGCTCTCAAGGGGTCCTAAGTGTTTGTGTGTGTAATCCCACTTTCCAAGGAGGAGCCCTAAGTGTGTGTGTGTGTGTGTGTGTAATCCCTCTTTCTAAGGGAGGGCAACCCTAAATGTGTGTGTGTGTGGATATCATGGGGGCCCCTAAGTGTGTGTGTGTGGGGGGGTGTCAAAGGGCCCTGTGTGTGTGTGTGTAATCCATCTTTCTAAGGGAGGGCAGCCCTAAGTGTGTGTGAGGGGGGATCAAAGGGGCCTGTGTGTGTGTGTGTGTGTGTGTGTATCATGGGGGCCCTGTGTGTGTGTGTGTGTGTGTAATCCCCTCTTTCTAAGGGAGGGCAGCCTATCCAGGGGTCTCCACTTAACATGGGGACAGGTGACCCTTCTCTCCCCACCAAGGAGAAATCATGCAGGGGGAGAGTTGGAAGAAACATCCTTGGGTGAAGAGAGCAGGGACAGACCCCCCACAACAGGTCGGGAAGGGGCCTTAGAGGTCCTCTAGCCCAACCCCCTTGCTCCAGCAGGAGACCCCACCCCATACCACCCTGTGGGGAAGGGGGAGCCCTGGGCTTTAATTCTTCCCCCCCCCACACACACACTCCGCTTCCAGAGGGGAGGTGGGGGGGGGCAAGGGGGGGCGGCAAAGCGGGGGGGGGGGGGGGAGGAAAGGAGGCCACGCGGCGAAGCCCACCTTCAGGGCGTTCTCGTAGATGGTGGCGCGGAACTCGAGCAGCGCCTTCTGGTCGAACTCGCGGCCGTGGATGATGCGCATCTGCTTGAGGAAGGTCGACTTGCCGCTCTCGCCGGCGCCCAGCAGCAGGATCCGCACCAGGCGGCGGACGGCGCGGCGCTCGCGGGCCAGCAGCGCGTCGATCTCGCGGCTCCGCCGGCGCGCCTCGCGCTCCAGCTCCCGGCGGCGGAGAGAAACAGGCAGCGGCGGCGGCGGGGACGGGGACGGCGGTGACCGGGGAAGGCCGCTTTCCTTGCTCGGCTCCACAGGCCCGGCCGCCGCCTCGGCCCCGGGGTCGCCGCCCGCCGGCCACAGGCAGCGGCCAAGGGAGCGCACCACCCCGGCCATGGAGGAGGAGGCGGCGGCGCCGGCGGCGGCGAACCCCTCAGACAGGCCCGGGCGGGAAAGGCGCCGCCTCAGCCGCCGCGACCTTCCCTCCGTCCTCGCCCTCACGCCCACCCGAAGGGGCGGGGCCAAGACGCCGCCTCGGGCGAGGCCCAGGCGGCGCTCGCGCCCCGACACGGACGCCGATTGGGCGGCGAGGCCCGGAGGCGAGGAAAGGTCCACAGAGGGGCGGGGCGGAGCTTGCTCGGGGACCAGTCAGCGGGCCAGAGGGGCGGGAGGAACGCTCGCTTTCCCCCACCCACTACAACCCCGCCCCCCCCCGCGCGCGGGACGGGACGACAGACAGAGAGAGCGGCGGGGCGGGGTTTTCCCAGGGTCAGGGCGGAGCGGGGGAGGGAGCCGGCGCTGATTGGGCGCCAGGGGAAAGGGGGGGGTCCGTGACGTCACCCGGGCGAGAAGGTTATGAATGGAGAAGGGGTGTCTTAATAGGCTGTCTGGCCCATCGTCTTTTAGGAGTTATGGGATTTGGAGTCCAGCGCTCTTCACCTGCATCGTGGTGTATAGGTTCTCCTGCTTGAGCGGGGGGGGGGGGGGGCTGGACTAGAGGACCTCCAAGGCCCCTTCCGGCTCTACTTTAGTCTTTGTTCCTATTCTATCTAATCGGGGTTAAAAAGGTTAAAAGTCTATAATATACGTGGTGTGTTTTATTTATTTTATTTTATTTTACTTATTTAATTTATTGCATTTATTGTATTTAATGCATTCATTCATTTATTTTTTATTTTATTTTATTTATTCTTTGAGAGAATTATGCAATGAAATTTCATCTTAATGTGTGGCCGATTAGCGTATATTCAACGTGACAATAAAGTTAAAAAGTTATTCTAAGTTATTCCATTCTGATGTTCGGGTCCACAAGTTGTGTGAATGCATGCACAGCATTTGGGTGCAAAAGGTTGCAAAGTTTTCTACCTCCCGAGACAGCTCCCTTCTAAAATTCCCTTACTACTACCTGCCCTGGGCCTTCTTAGGGGTGTCTATGGAGATTCTCGGTCATCCAAGGATGTCCCAAAGGTACTTTTTTTCCCCCCTACTGGACTTTCTGTTTTTTTCTATCTGAAGACATTTCGCTTCTGATCCAAGAAGCTTCTTCGGCTCTAACTGGATCCTTCCCTCCACCATCCAGAGTCAGAGCTGAAGAAGCTTCTTGGAAGAGAAGAGAAACATCTTCAAAGAAAAAAAACAACAACAGACAGCCCAGTTGCTTCTTGAGAAAAAAAAGCACCTTGGAGGCTTCTTAGAGGTCTTTCCCTCTTAGCAAACCACATAGGCAGTCATTTAAATTTTGGAATCATCTTGTCCTCCCCCATCCCGACCAATGGCCCCACATCTCCCTTTCTGTCTTCCCCCATCTAGTGCCCTGTGGCCCATCATCTCCAAAAGCTCAAAAAACCAGGGCAAAATGCACAAAACTCAACCTGTCCTTTCCTTTCTAGAGTTTATGCGGTGCCCAATATTTCCCGAAGAAAAACATTCCTTCTGGAGGCCTTTGCTAGCTCACCCACCAGATGTCACCAGATCTCCATCAAGACAACGGGGTTAAACCTTTTGTGAGAAAACATTTCAGTTGTAAACCCAAGGAATCCTAGTTATTGGATATTATTTTTCTCCTCCTTCAGGGCTCTTCTTTTTAATGGGGTTTTTGGCCTAAATTGTGGTTAAAAAGGTACATAGGATACTAGTGGTTAAAAGCCTAAAGTTGATTCTAGAAGCATGTCTTGGGTAGAAGATCCTACAAATTCTGATTTGTCTGAAAGCAGCGGAGACAAGACTGTGGTTGTGTTAGTACATGTGACAGTGTACACATCTGAAACCACGATGCGTAAACCACAACAGCCAGGCATTCCTGTAATCCAACCCCAAGTGAATTAAGGTCACGGTGATCTATCTGTGAATCCATCTCTTTCTGCATAATGCAGCAAAGTTGAAGTCCCTTTTATTTGGTTTACATGCCACTCGGGGGCAGTTTACAAATGGTTAACCACAGAAAAGCAAAAAGAGAACGGAACAAAGTTGGCATAGATAATAAACCGAGAAAGGCCCCTGGGAATGGATCCATTTCGGCACAGAAATTTCCAAATTTCTGCTTAAAATTCTCCCACGATGCACCCCGCTGCCAATTCAGCTTTGCAATCCAAAACTGAGGCCGTCAGGAAGAGTTAGTGGGAAGATCGCACAAAGGGGAAAACAGCTCCAGTTTCCATCGCTAACCATACTGCACTTCATCCTAGTGCATTTTGCTTAATGCTATCCACAAGGAGCCAGACAAACCTAACATGATTCTTAACCAGCATGGCTCTGAATGGGGCCCTTCTAAAGACAGGCCAACTTTGGTGGCCACTGAGCCGTCCCCTGTTTTGTTCTCTTCGCAGAAGGGAAGATTTGAAGGAAAGAAAAGTATGTTTTGCGAAGTTAATACGTTTTGGATCATTGTGTTCTTATTATAGCCGAGCCAATCAAACCTCCGTCTTCCCTTTCTTCTTTTTGAAGTGTGCATTTTTCAAAAGGCAGAAGGAGAAGACCTCTGATCAATATTAATATAATAAGAAAAAGATGGCTCAAAATATGCTTAGCCGTATGACAGATCACATTTCATGTTATTTCATAGCCAGGCTGGAAAGGGGGAGGATTAAAAAAAGAGAGAGAGGATAAATCACATCAGGCGATATGGAACTGCAGCGGTTTGGGAAATGACTGCAGGGAATATATATTAAAAAAAGGCATCCTGTTGTCCCTTTTTTTTGGGACAAGAAGAAAATTAAATTAAAAAAGAACAAACTCTTAGGTTTTACTAATTGAAACATTTAAAGGGCTAACAGAAATAAGGGGCCCGTATGATTAAAGGCATTTAACATTAATGGTTTATCTCACTTTTCTGATTGATTATGGGCCATTAGGGTGCTGGTTTTTTCCCCTGCTTATTTTCCTGCTAGCATTTAAAAGCAGCCAGTAAAGATACAGATACAGATTAAGAGAGTTGGAAGGGACCTTGTAGGTCATCTAGTCCAACCCCGCCGCCCAAGCAGGAAACCCTAAACCATCCTCATCTTAAATCAAAATGAGCGTATGGCATTACAGGTAGTCCTGGATTTCCAACCATTTGCTTAGCAACCGTGCAGAGTTAACAGCAGCTGTGTTAAAAAAAGTGCCTTATGACTGTTTTTCACACTTACGACCGTTCCCACGGTCAGGTGATCAAATTTCGGGCACTTGGCAACTGGCATGTACTTAAGATGGTTGCATTGTCCTGGGGTCCCCTTTTTGTGACCTTCCCAGCTGGCTTCTGACAAGGAGAGAGACCAGATTCACTTAACGGCCACCTGATTCACTTAACAACCGTGGCAAAAAGGCCGTAAACTCAGGTGCAACTCATTTAACAAGAAGAATTCCTTGTACAAGCCTGTAACTAAAGCCTGGGTTATTTGAACAATGCTCTCTGTCCTGCCCCTGGTGGAGACTGACTCTGAGGGAGAGGAGGAACAGCCAACAGGGATTGGAAGTGTGGCTCCAGCTCGTAACTGACCCTTGTTGTTGCTTACTACACGTCCCTCTCTTGGTCAATAAAACTGATCTACAATTCCCCCCTACCATCCGTCCGCAGATAACTATACCGAGCAGTCTAGGCAGAAGATCTTAAGGCAGCTTTGTGGGCCCGTTAAACCGGCTTTTCTAATCTGTGTTTAAAAGATTAGGAGGGATTACCTAATCAAATTTAAGCACATTTCGTTTACACGGATTTCCCCAGACCAAAATGGGCTGTTAATTTTCCCAAAAGGACCAAGGAGATTTTAACACGCTTACCTCTCAGGTGAGACCCCCAGGAATTACGCTCGAGATGTAGTCAGTTAGTCCCCAGCCTGGCACGGCTCGGATTTATTTACTCCATGTTCAACGGCTTGGAAATTTGGGGAAAGCGGTTTTCTGCCTTATCTGGAAAGCGACAGATTGGGGAATGCTGGCATCAGCAGTTTAAAGTTGTAGGTTTTTGTTTTTCTCGCAACTCTCCGTCCCCCTTGACAAAATGAATTTGCCCTGGCCCCGCCGATTCAATTAAAACATCGATATACTCCTTATGTAATTTCCCAGCCTAAATTCAACTAATTGGTGTGTATGTTGTTGTTCAACTTTGCGTAAAGCTTGCCTGCTCCCTCTAGAACCGAGTCAGCCTATTTCTATTTTTTGTTTGTATCAAGAGAGTCGTATTTTATTCTCATTTGCCTGCCCGCCTCCGTCTTTTCTTCCTCTAAGGGCAGATCTATTATGAAGACTAAAATAAGAGTGCCAGCGCTCTTTTGTCAATGAATATTTACCCGTGCCATAATTCCTGCTCCACCACCGTTAGGGTTTGATTTGGAGGCGGCGGCTGGGTTTTCTTAATGCACAGTCTTCACTACTTTGGAGTGTGTGGGGGTTTAGTAATTGATTTATTATTTTATTTAGGAAATAAAGGTTGGCAGAAGCTGGGACAAGGAACGGGAGCTCACTCCGTGACGTGGTGCTAGGGATTCGAACCGCCGAACTGCCCACCTTTCTGATCAACAAGCTCAGCGTCTTAGCCACTGTGCCACCGCGTCCCTCTTACAGAATATAAAACCTAATTCTGGAGAGACACTGAACGTATTTTTCAGTTTAGTGCAGGGTTTTCCCCCACTGGTGTTTTTAAAAGAAGGGGCCTCCTGCAGAACAGCCAGGGCACGAGAAAGGAACACAGTTAGAACATTAACTGGCCAGGATCGACGGTTCTTAACCCGTCGCCACGTGTCTGTTCTGACCCGAACCTTGTTCCAAGGAAACAAACACGAAATGGAGGTGACAGCAAAACCTTTTGGTGATTCTTTACAAATTCCGTTCCTTCTCGGTTAAAAGGCTGTTTCAAATTAATTATCTCTGATAAGAACGAGCCTTGCCAAGGTTGTGCAAGGCTGCCAAGGACACTAGATAAAGTTGCCAAGAAATAGTTCAAACACAAAGAGTCTCCAAACACCAACCAAGAGACTCCGAACATCCACAAGGCTTGAGTGCAAAAATT